TTCCAATCTAGATAATTCCACAATTCAGTGATTTTACAGTCATGACAGAGATATGGCCACTAGCAGATTAGCTGTTTGTATTTGTAACATTTATTATATTTATTCATTTTACAGTTTCTTATAACCTATATAATCTACACAGTAACTGGGAATTGCATCAGTTTTATCCACAGCCAACCTCACAAATGAAAATAAACTTTGAAATTAAAATTAAAAAGTGTCCTGATCAGACTGGATCCCTGTTTACAACAACTGACCATTTTTTTCTGATATTTTTGAAATGCACTTATTAGGCTTGTTCCCATCTTCCTTATTCTCTTTTTCTCTTTTTTTTATTTTTTTTTTCCTGTTTTTTTTTTTTTTTTTTAATTTAAAGGAGGATGTTTAAGCAAGGAAGAATGGAGATTAAATGTTTGTCTTTCCACAACACTCCTTCTTTCTAAATAAGGCACTTACCAGCCAATTGCCTTCTTTTTTTTTTTTTTTCTTTTTTTCTTTTTTTTTTCTCTAAAGATGAAGACAGGAATAGAAAATAAAACGATTGTCAGTCTCAGGACAATGAACTGGGAAATTGATACACTCCCAGCAACTCATGGTCCTCCAACTAGTTGGATCAAATAATTCCTTCTGTTCTCCATCTTTTCCACAGCAGTGTTTTAACTGGGATATTCAATATTTGTTTTGCTCACAGGAGCTTAGAAAAGAATGCTGTCCAAAGCAGTGCAGAGTCTCACAGGTTACTTTCACACATCATTTGCATGGCCATTTAGGATGCCATGACCTATACTGTTCTGAGAATTGTTCTTTGCTGAACTGAATGGAATTTATTTATTTATTTGCTTGTTTGTTTGATTGTTTTTGTTTTTTTTTTATTGCTGAGATCATTGCAGGTGGTTTTAAATGTTTTGTTTGTTTGTTTGTTTGTTTTCTTCCATTTAACTCTTTTATTGCATTAGATTGCTGTAAAACACTTAGTGATTATCTGTCAGAAATGCCATGGTTACGAGGTGATTTTCCCTTGGCCAGTCAGGTATGTGCCAAACAGTTAAAAATTTCCTTCCTTCCTTCCTATACTACTTGCCATGTAAACTGATGTCATATGCTAGCATTTTGTCTGTACAGCAGAGATAGAATGTTTTACTAAGATTAGAGTTTATGAATATTTTTATTCACATTTTACACGCACACACTACATTAATGGAATATTCTTGATTTTAATGTAGTAATTAGATAAGTTACATGATTGGAATATACTGTACATATCCATTCATAGGCATAACCCACTTTTCATTTGAGTGAAATAATCGTAGTCATTTAATTCCGTGAAATACGCTACGCTCTGATTATTCTAGGGTGCTTAATGAAGCACCAAAATACATTTTCAAACATAACTCAACCTTGGACTATGTCAGATTGTAATTCAAGAATCATTATTTACTCCAAAATTCTACTTTTGAACTACTTTTGAAATGATGCATCTGGAAATATCAAAATACACCTAATTCAGAAATACGGAGGTGAACATGTAATAATGATATTTGGTTATAAAACAGGATGACAGATACTTCATGCTTAAAATTAGAGTTCTTTAATGTGTATGCCAAAGGAGAAAGTTGGATCTACTAAAACCTCTGCTATACAATCTGGGCATGAGAGGACTCCCTGTTTCAAAGATTACCTATGGAAAAACATGGTATCTTTTCCTGTACATAAACAAGTTGAACTTAAGCAGAGCATTCCTTTCAAATGTTAAGAGAGATGTTGATGGAATACACAGCATGTCATTCACATCTGTGATTCAAAACACTTGGTAGAAAATGAGCTGATAGATTCTCCTGATATTAGGAGAGAATCGCATATTAACTCCACACATTTAGTGTATGGCTTTGGGGGAAAATATTGGAGGTATTGTACTGAAGCCACTTGCCTCAAAGGTAAAGGAATATGACCCATTTTTTGTGTGAGAGAACTTGATCAGGAAAACAAGTTGTGCCTCAACTCAATTATGCATCAGAAGCTGTCCTCATTTTCCTTTAAAGAAAACTCATGTTTTTTACACAAAGGCTAGAAATGTCTTCGTTTTTTGGAAATACATTTACAAAAGCACAACAGTATCAATGGTGCTAGTGTAAATCACTTTGACACTAGTACAAAGCAGTAAAAGGAAACGGAAGACAGAGAACTCATGTGGTTGATTACCTTTTTATTCTGATACTAATGGGCTGTTCTTTTATCTGATTGCATTGTTTTTCAATCTTCTGCTAGCTACATTATTCTCAATAAACTGAAGTATAGAACTCTGTTGAATTTATTCTCGTTCCATAGTACTTCTAAAATATTTTTTTTTCCAAAAAAGTGAACATCAAATGCAACAATAAAAGATGTGGAGATGAATTTATGCTTCAGTGCTTTAGGCTGTTATCTTCAAAATTAATCTAAAAATATTTTTCTGCTTATTAGGTACTGTGTTTCAGTCACACCAGCTGTGAGTTGTTGACATTACTGTAAGTCATAAGCACACAGCAAATACAGATGCTCCTCAATTGAAGTTTTTTTTTTAAAGTATAAAGTCATTGCTGTTCTAGGTTTTGCCCAGGGGTATATTCCAAACTTTACTTTTCCTCCTATTATGGAATGAATTCAATAAGTAAAGCAGAAGAATGGCAAAAAACTCATTTTCCTCCCCTCATTTGAATTAAATCTATAAAGTCAAGACTGTGACAAAAAGAAATGTAATCAAAGCTGCTATATATGGACCATCCCATTAGCGATTCAAATCAGACCAGTTCGAGCAGTTTAGCTGTTCAGATGTTTTCTAAAATACTACAGTGTGTAAGAATTAGATGGATAAAAAGAGGCAGGCAGGCAAGATCACTAACCAATCTTGCTCTAGAGATTGTTCTTTATAAATGCTGCTCAGTCACTGTACATACATAAAACACAGTATTAGAAAGTAGAACAGTGTCAGTGCTTGTTACCAGGGGTGACTGTAAAATTATGCCACAAAGACACTTGGTCTCTGAATGCTGAGAGCATCTTCTTTGTCTGTAGGTTTTATTTGCTATTCATTACATGCCGTTATGAACTGATATTTATACTCTAAATTACACCATTCATGTGCAGTGCTTGATGAAATCGTGAAGTAAAAAAATGCCTAAATGTAGTCGGGCAGACATCTTCCTGAGCTGTTACAGAGGTCAGACAAATAGGATGTCTGTATTGTGGATCCTATGGAATATTACTACAGGGACTACCTAGAATCTCCAATTAACTTCTACTGTCACATGTATCCATTCACAAATTCTGATTCTTATGGTGTTATTCTGTGTTCATTTCACTCCTCTTGCTGTCAGTCCTTGAAATAGTGCTCTAGGTGTGGGTGAGAAGAGTGGGTTTCATCCCACTGCAACAAAGAACAAATCCAAGACATCCTCATGAAACTGAAAGTATGTAAGTCCATGGAGCCAGATGATATCCAAGGTATAGTGGGGGTTTGGTTCAGTTCCTTTGCTGTGGTCACCCATTGAGAGGGCTTGCAACTAGGTAGGAAGCGGGAATGGAAGGGGATGCAAAGAGGCTCGCTAGGATAGAGCAAGTAGAACTCCACCTGAGGAGTGGAGGGGTGAGCAGGTGGAAGATCTGCTCAGCATGCTGGCACAGCTCAAGCAGGAGGTGGAGAGGTTAAGGACCATCAGGGAGTGAGAGCAAGAGATTGACTGGTGGAGAAACTCCCAGGCATGCCAGGGAGGAAGGCGCCAGGGAGACACCCCCCAGAAAGTGGGGGATGGACCCCATGTCCTGCCACTGTCAGGCAGAGAGCTGGGAGAACTGGAAGACAGTCCCAGCTCGGCATCGTGGGCCAGGCACTGTAAATTGAAGGCGAGGTGAGCGAGGAGGCCCGGGAAGCTTTGCCTAAGACAAAGGCAAGGGCGAGGCGGTCGACGCTGCGTCTCCGGACTGCCTCGGCTAAGACAGACAGAAGGGTTATCGGTGGTGGTGATTCCCTCCGCATGGGAACAGAAGGCCCCGGGTGCAGACCGGACCCGACTCACAGGGAGGTGTGCCGCCTCCCTGGGGCCCAGGTCCAGGACACAGCTAGAAAACTCCCTGACCTGGTTCATCCCTCTGATTACTACCCATTACTTCATCAGTGCAGGCAAGCAGCCATGAAGTAGCTCGGAGAAGCCTGCAAACTACCAAAAGGACTTTGGGGCTGCAGGGCGGTTGGTGGAGGGAGTGGGAGCACGAGTGATATTTGCTTCTATCCTTACTGGGGCGGTGAGGCACACGGAGTAGGATAGCAGAGCCCAGGTAATGGACAAGTGGCTGAGAGGCTGGTGCCGCCACAGAACTTTGGGCTTTTCCACCATGGGGCCATTTGCTCGGCACCCGGTCTCATGGCTGCAGGCCTGTGTCACTTGCCTCTGAGAAGGAAACGGATCCTGGCCCAAGAGATAGCGGGGCTCGTTGAGAGGGCTTGCAGCTAGGCAGGAAGCGGGAATGGAAGGGGATGCAATGAGGCTCGCTAGGGTAGAGCAAGTAGTCTGGGCTTTTATACTAGGCCCGATGGGGGAAGAGAGCCAAGTGAGGCGGGACAAAGAAACTCTTAGGGTTGCTGTCACGCCAGGAGATTGCGGGGAAAAACCTCCAAAGTGTCCTGTGGGATGCTGTAGGATCTTCTGGAAACTCCCCAGAGGAGGTAATATTGCCAGTTCCCTGTCCAAAACCTCCTCTTGTCCCTCTAGGAAGCAGTGGAGGAAAACTTCAAGTTTCTTTTGGAGGTTTGAGGGAGGGCCCCTCTAGAAGGCTAGACTGCCAGAAAGCCCAGCTGAAGTGCCTTTCCACTAATGCACGCAGCATGGGAAATAGGCAGGAGGAGTTGGAAGCCATGATGCGCTTGCAAAATAGCGATCTGGTTGCTGTTATCAGGGAAACGTGGTGGCACGAATCTCACGGCTGGCGTACTGGGATGGAGGGCTACAGGCTCTTCAGAAGGGATAGACAGGGGCAGGAGGGGAGGGGGTGTTGTCCTCTATGTTAGGAAGTGGACAGAGTGCAAAGAGCTGTGTCTGAGTAACAGCCATGACCAGGCTGAGAGCTGTCATGGAGTTATCTCTAGATCTGTGTTTGTGAGAGGGGCTGCAGGCCCCCCCCCCAAAAAAAGGGGGAGAGGATAAAAAAGAAAGCGTTGAAGGGTTACGGCCAGTCGGCCCGGCCCCATGACTAATGAGGCAGCAGACTTGCGGGCAAGGGTAGGGAAATCGTAGATGGGTCTAACAGAGAAAAAAAACAGAGCAACGGCAACGATCTGAGGAAGACCCTTAGTTTACCAAATCCAGGTACATCAAGCACAATGAGAGCATCCAAAGCCGAAGCCTTACGCGATAGACTGCAGAGGGAACCACGTGCTTCCCTGCTGCAAAACCGAGAGAATCCCTAAGAAGGAGAGAGGCCGGTGTCCTGCCAGGAGCTCCACCTTTCTTGCTCTGGGCAAGAAGTCCTCTGCGGAATGCCACTCCTCCCCTCCCCTCCCCTCCCCTCCCCTCCGAGAGCCAAAACGTCCCAAAAAGGCAGTCCACAGAACCAGAACATTAACTCTTCCACTCCCACTGCTTTCCATGGTGTTATGATGTGGAACACCGACAAGAAAAATCACAAAACCACTACAGGAGCTTAGGGTGAAAATCAGGGATCGGTCCAGGAAGGGGCATCTAGTGCTTGGGGTCTGCTACACGCCACCTGGTCAGGGGGAGCCTGTTGACGAGGCCTTCTTGCGTCAGCTGCAGGAGGTGTCGCGCTCGCAGGCTCTTGTCCTGATGGGGGATTTCAACCACCTGGATCCCTGCCAGGATAGCAGCACGGCGGGTGGCAGACAGTCCAGGAGATTCCTGGAGTCTGCTGAGGATTACTTCCTCGTCCAGGTAACTGGACGGACCAACCCGAGGTGAAGCCCTGCTGGACCTGGTGCTCGCCAGTGCAGAGCTGATAGTTTTGAATCACAGGATCCTGGGATGGCTTGGGTTGGAAGGGACATTAAATTCTGTCTGAAGTTCCAAACTTCTGCAGCGTGTTGACTGCCACCCACTAGGTCAGGCTGCCTGAAGCCCTATCCAGTGAGGCCTCGAGCATCTCCGCAGAGGGCGGCTCTCTAGACGTGGGGGCTCTCCCATCAGCGTTGGCCTGACTTTCGTGGAGAAGCTGACTCTCATGGTCAGGCTGGATGAGCAGGGATGCTCCAGTGTGACTCCAGGACTGCAGCCCTGGACAAGGGACCGCTCCTCTCCTGTCTCTGGCATGGTGACCATTGCCAGCAGGTCAAAGAGAGCAAAAAAAACAGAGTCAGAAGTTTTCCTGACTCGTTTTATACGCAGGCTTGAAGGCAATCGTGCCCTGCCTATGCCACTTTGCCTCTGGGAACCGTATAAGGGTTGAAGCTGAGATGTGTGAAGACTTGGATAAGAAAGGATCATAAAACCCACCCAACCCCAAGTGCCTGCCATGGGAGCGCTGCCACCCAGCAGGTCAGGTCAGGTTAGAGCAGGGCCCTGTCCAACTCGGCCTGGAGCGCCTGCAGGGATGGGCACCCGCAGCTTCTCTGGGCAGCTGTGCCAGGGCCTCACAGCCCTCTGAGTGAGGAATTCCTGCTCGCAGTTCACCAGATCTCCTCTTTTCTCAGCTCAAAACCTTGGCCTGCCACCATCAGACCGTGGAGAGTCACTCGGAACACACACTAGAAATGCTGGCTGCGCTGTTGACCCGCAGACGTTTATTGGACTCTCTGCTGCGATGCCCAGCACGGGCGTGGTGCAGAAGGCCCGAGGGAGGCCATCCTTGCTCCCTGCTGACGGCAGCACTGGGCTCCTTGCCCTGCGCTGCCCACAGGAGCCGCCGCCCTCCCGCATGGGTGCCGTGCCCTCAGCCCCGCGAGGTGCTGACCGTGATGTCACGGTGATGTCACAGTGGTGGCCATTGTGACCCGCGGGGCCGGGAGCAGAGCAAAGGCTGCCGGGCTGGGGCTGTGCTCAGTGCGGCTTGGTGAGGCGCGGAGAGAGGAGGGACTTTCTTGACTCTCTTGTTTCTCGCTGTGAATGCCGAACATGTCCAAACGGAACGAGGAGATCCCCATCTCTGGGGAGCCAGGTGAGAGCCCCGCATCCCTGCGTGCGGCTCCCCGCTGCCAGGCCAGGTCTGCCTGCGGCTGGGAGGGGAGGGAGGAGCAGGCAGGGGCTCCCCAGCGCCGCGGGCAGGCAGGGCCCTTCTGCTCCTTGGCCAGGGGTTGAGCTTGGGCTGTGGCTGCCTGCTGGCGCTGCTGGGCCCGCAATGCCCCCTTCCCTTTCACCCCCTCCAGCCCTGCCCCTCAGCAGGCACGGCAGGCACGGGGCAGGCCCTGGGGATGGCCAGGCGTGCCCGACCCCGCCAGGTGCTCACCGCTGCTCATGGTTGCTCTCTCCTTCCTCTGCAGTGTGCATGCTGTGCCGCCAGGCACAGGTCGACCCGGACATCTGCGGGCGGACGTTTGCCAATGGTGGGCTCTGTGCCCACGAATTCTGCTTGGTGAGTTCCCTCAAGGGCTAGGGCTCCTGCCAGGGATGCTCCCTTCCTTGCTGGCCTCACGAGATCCCGCTCTTTTCTCTCCTACAGTTCTTTGCCGATGGCCTTTTGGGATGGAGATGCCCAATGGGTGGAATGTGTGGCTTCTCCACTGGTGCCATCCAGCACACCATCCAGCTGGCAGACCAGAAGGTGAGGACCTGAACGGAACGGGGAGCTTGGTGCCGGCAGAGGCTCGCACCAAGGTTTTGCCTGGGCCTATAGAAAGCGATCGCGGCCCTTCCAACCGGCTCCAGGACAAAGCCCCACCACAGCAGACAAGCCTCGTCTGCCAGGCAGCTCTGCAGAGTGTGGGGCAGCGGTGCCCACACCCTGAGCCCTGCCTGGAGAAGTGGGGCCAGCCGCGGAGGCACCAAGCCCACCGCTGACGGGGACCGCTCTGTTCTTTTCAGCACTGCTTTGTCTGTGGCGGGAGGGGAGCTGCCATCAGCTGCGCGGAGACGGGCTGTGAGCGCAGCTTCCATCTGCCCTGCGCCGAGGACGGGCAATGCGTCATGCAGTACTTTGGGCAGTACAGGTAAGGACTGTCAGCAGCAGCCAAGCTGCCGTCCCTCCCTGTCCCTCCCAGGGAGGAACCTGCAGCCACACCTCCCAGCATCCTGCCAGAGCCGGAGCCCAGACCCGGCACTCTTTCCTGGCTCTCTGCGCTCCTCACAGCACTCCTCACCATGCCCATCCCTTCTGTCCTCCTGCGCAGGTCCTTCTGCTGGGAGCATCGCCCTCAGCAGGCAGCGGAGGCAGCTCCGTCTCAGAACACCATCTGCATCATCTGCCTGGAGCCCGTGGGGGACAGCGCGTCCTACCGCACCATGGTGTGCCCGGCGTGCAAACAGGCCTGGTTCCACCGGGGCTGCATCAGGGTAGGAGCCCTCCCCTCGCCCCGTGGGCACGGCCGGTGCTCAGCAGCAGCCAGCCCTGCTCACACTCACGCTCACGCTCACACTCACGCTCACGCTTGTGCTTCTCCTGCAGAGACATGCCATACTCGCTGCCACCGCGCGCTTCTACTGCCCCGTCTGCGGAGAGAGAGGGAGATTCCAATCCCAAATGACCAGGCTGGGGATCCAAATTCCAATCAGGTTGGTGTCCTTCTTCCTGACTCTGCAGACACTCAGGCACAGGTGCTGTGCCTGCCCATGAACTGCCCCGGCAGGCCCAGTCCCTCGCCGTCCTGCTGCAAGCATCGGTCTCAGCTTCACGGAGTAGCTGGGAATAAGCTCAAGGGGGATGAACAGGGGTGCCCTGGATCTGCCTCACGCCTGGGGCACCGGGGACTCATCACATTCTCTCTCTTCTCTGGCAGACAACTATCTTGGTGGGACGATGAAGCGTACCAGTCGCTGCGAGAAAGGCACAGTGGCTGCAGTGCCAGCACGTGCACTCACCTAGGAGGCAGGGAGAGCGCACAGGAAGAGGAGTGAGTGACCTCCGCAGTCCTCTGGGGCTCTGCGTGGGATCTCAGCCTCACCATAGGCTGGGGGGAGCAAGGGCTGAGCACCAGAGCCGCGCCGGCTGCTCCCTGCCTTGGCTCGCTTTGTGCTCACAGACACAACCTGTTTGCTTCCGCAGGCCCTGTCAGCCAATGCTCTGCAGCTCCTGTGGCTCACAAGGCACGCGCTGGTGCTGCTCCTTCTGGGCCATGCGCAGAAACGCCTGGGCGTGGGACACCTGCGATGCTGTGGTCACCCGTCAGAGACGTGGTAGGAGGAGACGGTCCTCCAGAACATCCCGGACACCTGCAGCCACAAGTCGTCCCAGGCAGCGGGAGACCGGCCGTACAAGAAGCCGCTCCCCGTTGCAAGGCCGGGCCTCGGGCTCCCAGAGTCGGCCCCGAAGACAACGTGGTCGGAGCCGTACAACAACCCGAGGTGCTCAGAGCAGCACCCACACCTCGGCCAGACCAGCACCATCGAGGTCCTCGAGGGCTTCCCCTCTGCCTGCACGCAGGAGACAATCCAGGCAATGAGGCTGGGCCCGCTCTCGAAGCCGATCCCCACTGGGGCGTCGCACTTCAACTTCCTGCAGCCGGCCCCAATGAGACCGTGGCAGCCGGTCCAGGCAGCGGGGGCCAGCCCGGGCACGAAGCCACTCCCTGCCCACGGGCCACCCAGTGCACTTATTCCTGTTGCCTTAAGAAAATCAACCTGGAAGAGAGTCCATCCATGCTGCCTTCATTCTTCGGTGGACCAGCCCAGGCACAAAGCCACTCCCGGTTCCAGCATCAGAGAAGACATCTCCACAACCAGTCCCAAAGACAGCGCGGAATCAGCCATGTCCCATCCTGGCGTGATGGTTGTGGTTCCAAGTGGCAAAAAAAAATAAACCTTCAACATCCTCCCCACGTGTTGGCTTCAGTCTTCTCTGCTTGTCCTGCGGTGGGCAGTGTTAGGAGCTGAGACCACGGGGTTGTCTTCTCCCCGGCACCTTCCTGGATGGTTGCCGTGGAGTTATCTTTACACCTCTCTGTGTCCGTGATGGGGGACAGCACGCCCACAGGCCCAACGCCCCGAAAAAAAAGGGGCAGGGACGGAGGCGTACTGACGGTTTATAGGCCAGTCCAGCCTGTTGCCATGACTAATGGGCACGGGGGACCCACAGGCCCACGTCCCAGGAAAGGGGGAAGGGAGAAGGGGGCAAGGGTAGGGAGATGGGAGACGGGCCCAAGAACAAAACAGCGGCAGCGATCTGAGGAAGAAAGTCAGTTTCCTACATATGGTATCGGAATGCAAGATGACACAATCTAATACTTCACTTCATCCTTGACTGCCGAGGTTAGCTGCTTCGGAGCCGGCCCGGACAGAATCGCAGCGCCTCCTTGCAAGGTATGGGGGGGGAGGGGGTTTGGTCAGTTCCTTTACCAGGGGAACCCTGAGCCAACGCAGCAGCCCCACAGTTCTCGTGAGAGTGGCTGATGTGGTGTCAGCATTGCCAGGGCAATGGAACTGCATCCACGCCCCTTGCCTTAAGAAAAGCTTAAGGGAGGGCCTCAGTGCATCGCTGCCCGCCAAGTGCAGTGAGGAGAAGGAGCACGTGCGCAGCAGCCACAGCAGACTGCAGCAGCAGGTGTGGTAGCTTGCGCAGGACGGCGCAGAAGTACCGTCCTTCCTAGCTCTGGAGACCAGCTTACCTACTGGCAGTAGGTGCTGTCTCTCCGAGGCCGCAATCTCCACCAGGCAACCAGCTTGCCCCGCAAAGGCTGTGGCGACCCAGATGGAGGCCCTGCCCAAGAATGTGGCTGTTCAGGTCTCCGGCTGCAGGGAGTGCCTGAGCCTGCTGATGCCGAGGAGGGCGGCAGGAACTCCACCTGAGGAGTGGAGGGGTGAGCAGGTGGAAGATCTGCTCAGCATGCTGGCACAGCTCAAGCAGGAGGTGGAGAGGTTAAGGACCATCAGGGAGTGAGAGCAAGAGATTGACTGGTGGAGAAACTCCCAGGCATGCCAGGGAGGAAGGCGCCAGGGAGACACCCCCCAGAAAGTGGGGGATGGACCCCATGTCCTGCCACTGTCAGGCAGAGAGCTGGGAGAACTGGAAGACAGTCCCAGCTCGGCATCGTGGGCCAGGCACTGTAAATTGAAGGCGAGGTGAGCGAGGAGGCCCGGGAAGCTTTGCCTAAGACAAAGGCAAGGGCGAGGCGGTCGACGCTGCGTCTCCGGACTGCCTCGGCTAAGACAGACAGAAGGGTTATCGGTGGTGGTGATTCCCTCCGCATGGGAACAGAAGGCCCCGGGTGCAGACCGGACCCGACTCACAGGGAGGTGTGCCGCCTCCCTGGGGCCCAGGTCCAGGACACAGCTAGAAAACTCCCTGACCTGGTTCATCCCTCTGATTACTACCCATTACTTCATCAGTGCAGGCAAGCAGCCAAGAAGTAGCTCGGAGAAGCCTGCAAACTACCAAAAGGACTTTGGGGCTGCAGGGCGGTTGGTGGAGGGAGTGGGAGCACGAGTGATATTTGCTTCTATCCTTACTGGGGCGGTGAGGCACACGGAGTAGGATAGCAGAGCCCAGGTAATGGACAAGTGGCTGAGAGGCTGGTGCCGCCACAGAACTTTGGGCTTTTCCACCATGGGGCCATTTGCTCGGCACCCGGTCTCATGGCTGCAGGCCTGTGTCACTTGCCTCTGAGAAGGAAACGGATCCTGGCCCAAGAGATAGCGGGGCTCGTTGAGAGGGCTTGCAGCTAGGTAGGAAGCGGGAATGGAAGGGGATGCAATGAGGCTCGCTAGGGTAGAGCAAGTAGTCTGGGCTTTTATACTAGGCCCGATGGGGGAAGAGAGCCAAGTGAGGCGGGACAAAGAAACTCTTAGGGTTGCTGTCACGCCAGGAGATTGCGGGGAAAAACCTCCAAAGTGTCCTGTGGGATGCTGTAGGATCTTCTGGAAACTCCCCAGAGGAGGTAATATTGCCAGTTCCCTGTCCAAAACCTCCTCTTGTCCCTCTAGGAAGCAGTGGAGGAAAACTTCAAGTTTCTTTTGGAGGTTTGAGGGAGGGCCCCTCTAGAAGGCTAGACTGCCAGAAAGCCCAGCTGAAGTGCCTTTCCACTAATGCACGCAGCATGGGAAATAGGCAGGAGGAGTTGGAAGCCATGATGCGCTTGCAAAATAGCGATCTGGTTGCTGTTATCAGGGAAACGTGGTGGCACGAATCTCACGGCTGGCGTACTGGGATGGAGGGCTACAGGCTCTTCAGAAGGGATAGACAGGGGCAGGAGGGGAGGGGGTGTTGTCCTCTATGTTAGGAAGTGGACAGAGTGCAAAGAGCTGTGTCTGAGTAACAGCCATGACCAGGCTGAGAGCTGTCATGGAGTTATCTCTAGATCTGTGTTTGTGAGAGGGGCTGCAGGCCCCCCCCCCAAAAAAAGGGGGAGAGGATAAAAAAGAAAGCGTTGAAGGGTTACGGCCAGTCGGCCCGGCCCCATGACTAATGAGGCAGCAGACTTGCGGGCAAGGGTAGGGAAATCGTAGATGGGTCTAACAGAGAAAAAAAACAGAGCAACGGCAACGATCTGAGGAAGACCCTTAGTTTACCAAATCCAGGTACATCAAGCACAATGAGAGCATCCAAAGCCGAAGCCTTACGCGATAGACTGCAGAGGGAACCACGTGCTTCCCTGCTGCAAAACCGAGAGAATCCCTAAGAAGGAGAGAGGCCGGTGTCCTGCCAGGAGCTCCACCTTTCTTGCTCTGGGCAAGAAGTCCTCTGCGGAATGCCACTCCTCCCCTCCCCTCCCCTCCCCTCCCCTCCGAGAGCCAAAACGTCCCAAAAAGGCAGTCCACAGAACCAGAACATTAACTCTTCCACTCCCACTGCTTTCCATGGTGTTATGATGTGGAACACCGACAAGAAAAATCACAAAACCACTACAGGAGCTTAGGGTGAAAATCAGGGATCGGTCCAGGAAGGGGCATCTAGTGCTTGGGGTCTGCTACACGCCACCTGGTCAGGGGGAGCCTGTTGACGAGGCCTTCTTGCGTCAGCTGCAGGAGGTGTCGCGCTCGCAGGCTCTTGTCCTGATGGGGGATTTCAACCACCTGGATCCCTGCCAGGATAGCAGCACGGCGGGTGGCAGACAGTCCAGGAGATTCCTGGAGTCTGCTGAGGATTACTTCCTCGTCCAGGTAACTGGACGGACCAACCCGAGGTGAAGCCCTGCTGGACCTGGTGCTCGCCAGTGCAGAGCTGATAGTTTTGAATCACAGGATCCTGGGATGGCTTGGGTTGGAAGGGACATTAAATTCTGTCTGAAGTTCCAAACTTCTGCAGCGTGTTGACTGCCACCCACTAGGTCAGGCTGCCTGAAGCCCTATCCAGTGAGGCCTCGAGCATCTCCGCAGAGGGCGGCTCTCTAGACGTGGGGGCTCTCCCATCAGCGTTGGCCTGACTTTCGTGGAGAAGCTGACTCTCATGGTCAGGCTGGATGAGCAGGGATGCTCCAGTGTGACTCCAGGACTGCAGCCCTGGACAAGGGACCGCTCCTCTCCTGTCTCTGGCATGGTGACCATTGCCAGCAGGTCAAAGAGAGCAAAAAAAACAGAGTCAGAAGTTTTCCTGACTCGTTTTATACGCAGGCTTGAAGGCAATCGTGCCCTGCCTATGCCACTTTGCCTCTGGGAACCGTATAAGGGTTGAAGCTGAGATGTGTGAAGACTTGGATAAGAAAGGATCATAAAACCCACCCAACCCCAAGTGCCTGCCATGGGAGCGCTGCCACCCAGCAGGTCAGGTCAGGTTAGAGCAGGGCCCTGTCCAACTCGGCCTGGAGCGCCTGCAGGGATGGGCACCCGCAGCTTCTCTGGGCAGCTGTGCCAGGGCCTCACAGCCCTCTGAGTGAGGAATTCCTGCTCGCAGTTCACCAGATCTCCTCTTTTCTCAGCTCAAAACCTTGGCCTGCCACCATCAGACCGTGGAGAGTCACTCGGAACACACACTAGAAATGCTGGCTGCGCTGTTGACCCGCAGACGTTTATTGGACTCTCTGCTGCGATGCCCAGCACGGGCGTGGTGCAGAAGGCCCGAGGGAGGCCATCCTTGCTCCCTGCTGACGGCAGCACTGGGCTCCTTGCCCTGCGCTGCCCACAGGAGCCGCCGCCCTCCCGCATGGGTGCCGTGCCCTCAGCCCCGCGAGGTGCTGACCGTGATGTCACGGTGATGTCACAGTGGTGGCCATTGTGACCCGCGGGGCCGGGAGCAGAGCAAAGGCTGCCGGGCTGGGGCTGTGCTCAGTGCGGCTTGGTGAGGCGCGGAGAGAGGAGGGACTTTCTTGACTCTCTTGTTTCTCGCTGTGAATGCCGAACATGTCCAAACGGAACGAGGAGATCCCCAACTCTGGGGAGCCAGGTGAGAGCCCCGCATCCCTGCGTGCGGCTCCCCGCTGCCAGGCCAGGTCTGCCTGCGGCTGGGAGGGGAGGGAGGAGCAGGCAGGGGCTCCCCAGCGCCGCGGGCAGGCAGGGCCCTTCTGCTCCTTGGCCAGGGGTTGAGCTTGGGCTGTGGCTGCCTGCTGGCGCTGCTGGGCCCGCAATGCCCCCTTCCCTTTCACCCCCTCCAGCCCTGCCCCTCAGCAGGCACGGCAGGCACGGGGCAGGCCCTGGGGATGGCCAGGCGTGCCCGACCCCGCCAGGTGCTCACCGCTGCTCATGGTTGCTCTCTCCTTCCTCTGCAGTGTGCATGCTGTGCCGCCAGGCACAGGTCGACCCGGACATCTGCGGGCGGACGTTTGCCAATGGTGGGCTCTGTGCCCACGAATTCTGCTTGGTGAGTTCCCTCAAGGGCTAGGGCTCCTGCCAGGGATGCTCCCTTCCTTGCTGGCCTCACGAGATCCCGCTCTTTTCTCTCCTACAGTTCTTTGCCGATGGCCTTTTGGGATGGAGATGCCCAATGGGTGGAATGTGTGGCTTCTCCACTGGTGCCATCCAGCACACCATCCAGCTGGCAGACCAGAAGGTGAGGACCTGAACGGAACGGGGAGCTTGGTGCCGGCAGAGGCTCGCACCAAGGTTTTGCCTGGGCCTATAGAAAGCGATCGCGGCCCTTCCAACCGGCTCCAGGACAAAGCCCCACCACAGCAGACAAGCCTCGTCTGCCAGGCAGCTCTGCAGAGTGTGGGGCAGCGGTGCCCACACCCTGAGCCCTGCCTGGAGAAGTGGGGCCAGCCGCGGAGGCACCAAGCCCACCGCTGACGGGGACCGCTCTGTTCTTTTCAGCACTGCTTTGTCTGTGGCGGGAGGGGAGCTGCCATCAGCTGCGCGGAGACGGGCTGTGAGCGCAGCTTCCATCTGCCCTGCGCCGAGGACGGGCAATGCGTCATGCAGTACTTTGGGCAGTACAGGTAAGGACTGTCAGCAGCAGCCAAGCTGCCGTCCCTCCCTGTCCCTCCCAGGGAGGAACCTGCAGCCACACCTCCCAGCATCCTGCCAGAGCCGGAGCCCAGACCCGGCGCTCTTTCCTGGCTCTCTGCGCTCCTCACAGCACTCCTCACCATGCCCATCCCTTCTGTCCTCCTGCGCAGGTCCTTCTGCTGGGAGCATCGCCCTCAGCAGGCAGCGGAGGCAGCTCCGTCTCAGAACACCATCTGCATCATCTGCCTGGAGCCCGTGGGGGACAGCGCGTCCTACCGCACCATGGTGTGCCCGGCGTGCAAACAGGCCTGGTTCCACCGGGGCTGCATCAGGGTAGGAGCCCTCCCCTCGCCCCGTGGGCACGGCCGGTGCTCAGCAGCAGCCAGCCCTGCTCACACTCACGCTCACGCTCACACTCACGCTCACGCTTGTGCTTCTCCTGCAGAGACATGCCATACTCGCTGCCACCGCGCGCTTCTACTGCCCCGTCTGCGGAGAGAGAGGGAGATTCCAATCCCAAATGACCAGGCTGGGGATCCAAATTCCAATCAGGTTGGTGTCCTTCTTCCTGACTCTGCAGACACTCAGGCACAGGTGCTGTGCCTGCCCATGAACTGCCCCGGCAGGCCCAGTCCCTCGCCGTCCTGCTGCAAGCATCGGTCTCAGCTTCACGGAGTAGCTGGGAATAAGCTCAAGGGGGATGAACAGGGGTGCCCTGGATCTGCCTCACGCCTGGGGCACCGGGGACTCATCACATTCTCTCTCTTCTCTGGCAGACAACTATCTTGGTGGGACGATGAAGCGTACCAGTCGCTGCGAGAAAGGCACAGTGGCTGCAGTGCCAGCACGTGCACTCACCTAGGAGGCAGGGAGAGCGCACAGGAAGAGGAGTGAGTGACCTCCGCAGTCCTCTGGGGCTCTGCGTGGGATCTCAGCCTCACCATAGGCTGGGGGGAGCAAGGGCTGAGCACCAGAGTCGCGCCGGCTGCTCCCTGCCTTGGCTCGCTTTGTGCTCACAGACACAACCTGTTTGCTTCCGCAGGCCCTGTCAGCCAATGCTCTGCAGCTCCTGTGGCTCACAAGGCACGCGCTGGTGCTGCTCCTTCTGGGCCATGCGCAGAAACGCCTGGGCGTGGGACACCTGCGATGCTGTGGTCACCCGTCAGAGACGTGGTAGGAGGAGACGGTCCTCCAGAACATCCCGGACACCTGCAGCCACAAGTCGTCCCAGGCAGCGGGAGACCGGCCGTACAAGAAGCCGCTCCCCGTTGCAAGGCCGGGCCTCGGGCTCCCAGAGTCGGCCCCGAAGACAACGTGGTCGGAGCCGTACAACAACCCGAGGTGCTCAGAGCAGCACCCACACCTCGGCCAGACCAGCACCATCGAGGTCCTCGAGGGCTTCCCCTCTGCCTGCACGCAGGAGACAATCCAGGCAATGAGGCTGGGCCCGCTCTCGAAGCCGATCCCCACTGGGGCGTCGCACTTCAACTTCCTGCAGCCGGCCCCAATGAGACCGTGGCAGCCGGTCCAGGCAGCGGGGGCCAGCCCGGGCACGAAGCCACTCCCTGCCCACGGGCCACCCAGTGCACTTATTCCTGTTGCCTTAAGAAAATCAACCTGGAAGAGAGTCCATCCATGCTGCCTTCATTCTTCGGTGGACCAGCCCAGGCACAAAGCCACTCCCGGTTCCAGCATCAGAGAAGACATCTCCACAACCAGTCCCAAAGACAGCGCGGAATCAGCCATGTCCCATCCTGGCGTGATGGTTGTGGTTCCAAGTGGCAAAAAAAAATAAACCTTCAACATCCTCCCCACGTGTTGGCTTCAGTCTTCTCTGCTTGTCCTGCGGTGGGCAGTGTTAGGAGCTGAGACCACGGGGTTGTCTTCTCCCCGGCACCTTCCTGGATGGTTGCCGTGGAGTTATCTTTACACCTCTCTGTGTCCGTGATGGGGGACAGCACGCCCACAGGCCCAACGCCCCGAAAAAAAAGGGGCAGGGACGGAGGCGTACTGACGGTTTATAGGCCAGTCCAGCCTGTTGCCATGACTAATGGGCACGGGGGACCCACAGGCCCACGTCCCAGGAAAGGGGGAAGGGAGAAGGGGGCAAGGGTAGGGAGATGGGAGACGGGCCCAAGAACAAAACAGCGGCAGCGATCTGAGGAAGAAAGTCAGTTTCCTACATATGGTATCGGAATGCAAGATGACACAATCTAATACTTCACTTCATCCTTGACTGCCGAGGTTAGCTGCTTCGGAGCCGGCCCGGACAGAATCGCAGCGCCTCCTTGCAAGGTATGGGGGGGGAGGGGGTTTGGTCAGTTCCTTTACCAGGGGAACCCTGAGCCAACGCAGCAGCCCCACAGTTCTCGTGAGAGTGGCTGATGTGGTGTCAGCATTGCCAGGGCAATGGAACTGCATCCACGCCCCTTGCCTTAAGAAAAGCTTAAGGGAGGGCCTCAGTGCATCGCTGCCCGCCAAGTGCAGTGAGGAGAAGGAGCACGTGCGCAGCAGCCACAGCAGACTGCAGCAGCAGGTGTGGTAGCTTGCGCAGGACGGCGCAGAAGTACCGTCCTTCCTAGCTCTGGAGACCAGCTTACCTACTGGCAGTAGGTGCTGTCTCTCCGAGGCCGCGATCTCCACCAGGCAACCAGCTTGCCCCGCAAAGGCTGTGGCGACCCAGATGGAGGCCCTGCCCAAGAATGTGGCTGTTCAGGTCTCCGGCTGCAGGGAGTGCCTGAGCCTGCTGATGCCGAGGAGGGCGGCAGGAACTCCACCTGAGGAGTGGAGGGGTGAGCAGGTGGAAGATCTGCTCAGCATGCTGGCACAGCTCAAGCAGGAGGTGGAGAGGTTAAGGACCATCAGGGAGTGAGAGCAAGAGATTGACTGGTGGAGAAACTCCCAGGCATGCCAGGGAGGAAGGCGCCAGGGAGACACCCCCCAGAAAGTGGGGGATGGACCCCATGTCCTGCCACTGTCAGGCAGAGAGCTGGGAGAACTGGAAGACAGTCCCAGCTCGGCATCGTGGGCCAGGCACTGTAAATTGAAGGCGAGGTGAGCGAGGAGGCCCGGGAAGCTTTGCCTAAGACAAAGGCAAGGGCGAGGCGGTCGACGCTGCGTCTCCGGACTGCCTCGGCTAAGACAGACAGAAGGGTTATCGGTGGTGGTGATTCCCTCCGCATGGGAACAGAAGGCCCCGGGTGCAGACCGGACCCGACTCACAGGGAGGTGTGCCGCCTCCCTGGGGCCCAGGTCCAGGACACAGCTAGAAAACTCCCTGACCTGGTTCATCCCTCTGATTACTACCCATTACTTCATCAGTGCAGGCAAGCAGCCAAGAAGTAGCTCGGAGAAGCCTGCAAACTACCAAAAGGACTTTGGGGCTGCAGGGCGGTTGGTGGAGGGAGTGGGAGCACGAGTGATATTTGCTTCTATCCTTACTGGGGCGGTGAGGCACACGGAGTAGGATAGCAGAGCCCAGGTAATGGACAAGTGGCTGAGAGGCTGGTGCCGCCACAGAACTTTGGGCTTTTCCACCATGGGGCCATTTGCTCGGCACCCGGTCTCATGGCTGCAGGCCTGTGTCACTTGCCTCTGAGAAGGAAACGGATCCTGGCCCAAGAGATAGCGGGGCTCGTTGAGAGGGCTTGCAGCTAGGCAGGAAGCGGGAATGGAAGGGGATGCAATGAGGCTCGCTAGGGTAGAGCAAGTAGTCTGGGCTTTTATACTAGGCCCGATGGGGGAAGAGAGCCAAGTGAGGCGGGACAAAGAAACTCTTAGGGTTGCTGTCATGCCAGGAGATTGCGGGGAAAAACCTCCAAAGTGTCCTGTGGGATGCTGTAGGATCTTCTGGAAACTCCCCAGAGGAGGTAATATTGCCAGTTCCCTGTCCAAAACCTCCTCTTGTCCCTCTAGGAAGCAGTGGAGGAAAACTTCAAGTTTCTTTTGGAGGTTTGAGGGAGGGCCCCTCTAGAAGGCTAGACTGCCAGAAAGCCCAGCTGAAGTGCCTTTCCACTAATGCACGCAGCATGGGAAATAGGCAGGAGGAGTTGGAAGCCATGATGCGCTTGCAAAATAGCGATCTGGTTGCTGTTATCAGGGAAACGTGGTGGCACGAATCTCACGGCTGGCGTACTGGGATGGAGGGCTACAGGCTCTTCAGAAGGGATAGACAGGGGCAGGAGGGGAGGGGGTGTTGTCCTCTATGTTAGGAAGTGGACAGAGTGCAAAGAGCTGTGTCTGAGTAACAGCCATGACCAGGCTGAGAGCTGTCATGGAGTTATCTCTAGATCTGTGTTTGTGAGAGGGGCTGCAGGCCCCCCCCCCAAAAAAAGGGGGAGAGGATAAAAAAGAAAGCGTTGAAGGGTTACGGCCAGTCGGCCCGGCCCCATGACTAATGAGGCAGCAGACTTGCGGGCAAGGGTAGGGAAATCGTAGATGGGTCTAACAGAGAAAAAAAACAGAGCAACGGCAACGATCTGAGGAAGACCCTTAGTTTACCAAATCCAGGTACATCAAGCACAATGAGAGCATCCAAAGCCGAAGCCTTACGCGATAGACTGCAGAGGGAACCACGTGCTTCCCTGCTGCAAAACCGAGAGAATCCCTAAGAAGGAGAGAGGCCGGTGTCCTGCCAGGAGCTCCACCTTTCTTGCTCTGGGCAAGAAGTCCTCTGCGGAATGCCACTCCTCCCCTCCCCTCCCCTCCCCTCCCCTCCGAGAGCCAAAACGTCCCAAAAAGGCAGTCCACAGAACCAGAACATTAACTCTTCCACTCCCACTGCTTTCCATGGTGTTATGATGTGGAACACCGACAAGAAAAATCACAAAACCACTACAGGAGCTTAGGGTGAAAATCAGGGATCGGTCCAGGAAGGGGCATCTAGTGCTTGGGGTCTGCTACACGCCACCTGGTCAGGGGGAGCCTGTTGACGAGGCCTTCTTGCGTCAGCTGCAGGAGGTGTCGCGCTCGCAGGCTCTTGTCCTGATGGGGGATTTCAACCACCTGGATCCCTGCCAGGATAGCAGCACGGCGGGTGGCAGACAGTCCAGGAGATTCCTGGAGTCTGCTGAGGATTACTTCCTCGTCCAGGTAACTGGACGGACCAACCCGAGGTGAAGCCCTGCTGGACCTGGTGCTCGCCAGTGCAGAGCTGATAGTTTTGAATCACAGGATCCTGGGATGGCTTGGGTTGGAAGGGACATTAAATTCTGTCTGAAGTTCCAAACTTCTGCAGCGTGTCTAGGTCAGGCTGCCTGAAGCCCTATCCAGTGAGGCCTCGAGCATCTCCGCAGAGGGCGGCTCTCTAGACGTGGGGGCTCTCCCATCAGCGTTGGCCTGACTTTCGTGGAGAAGCTGACTCTCATGGTCAGGCTGGATGAGCAGGGATGCTCCAGTGTGACTCCAGGACTGCAGCCCTGGACAAGGGACCGCTCCTCTCCTGTCTCTGGCATGGTGACCATTGCCAGCAGGTCAAAGAGAGCAAAAAAAACAGAGTCAGAAGTTTTCCTGACTCGTTTTATACGCAGGCTTGAAGGCAATCGTGCCCTGCCTATGCCACTTTGCCTCTGGGAACCGTATAAGGGTTGAAGCTGAGATGTGTGAAGACTTGGATAAGAAAGGATCATAAAACCCACCCAACCCCAAGTGCCTGCCATGGGAGCGCTGCCACCCAGCAGGTCAGGTCAGGTTAGAGCAGGGCCCTGTCCAACTCGGCCTGGAGCGCCTGCAGGGATGGGCACCCGCAGCTTCTCTGGGCAGCTGTGCCAGGGCCTCACAGCCCTCTGAGTGAGGAATTCCTGCTCGCAGTTCACCAGATCTCCTCTTTTCTCAGCTCAAAACCTTGGCCTGCCACCATCAGACCGTGGAGAGTCACTCGGAACACACACTAGAAATGCTGGCTGCGCTGTTGACCCGCAGACGTTTATTGGACTCTCTGCTGCGATGCCCAGCACGGGCGTGGTGCAGAAGGCCCGAGGGAGGCCATCCTTGCTCCCTGCTGACGGCAGCACTGGGCTCCTTGCCCTGCGCTGCCCACAGGAGCCGCCGCCCTCCCGCATGGGTGCCGTGCCCTCAGCCCCGCGAGGTGCTGACCGTGATGTCACGGTGATGTCACAGTGGTGGCCATTGTGACCCGCGGGGCCGGGAGCAGAGCAAAGGCTGCCGGGCTGGGGCTGTGCTCAGTGCGGCTTGGTGAGGCGCGGAGAGAGGAGGGACTTTCTTGACTCTCTTGTTTCTCGCTGTGAATGCCGAACATGTCCAAACGGAACGAGGAGATCCCCATCTCTGGGGAGCCAGGTGAGAGCCCCGCATCCCTGCGTGCGGCTCCCCGCTGCCAGGCCAGGTCTGCCTGCGGCTGGGAGGGGAGGGAGGAGCAGGCAGGGGCTCCCCAGCACCGCGGGCAGGCAGGGCCCTTCTGCTCCTTGGCCAGGGGTTGAGCTTGGGCTGTGGCTGCCTGCTGGCGCTGCTGGGCCCGCAATGCCCCCTTCCCTTTCACCCCCTCCAGCCCTGCCCCTCAGCAGGCACGGCAGGCACGGGGCAGGCCCTGGGGATGGCCAGGCGTACCCGACCCCGCCAGGTGCTCACCGCTGCTCATGGTTGCT